CTTTTTGATATTCATGTACATGTACGAGTTACTATAGTTACTACAGTTACATGTAACTACATTTAGTTATTTTCAGTAAAGTTAACTTACTGATTTGAAAAAAAAAAGTTAAAATATATTAAAAAAAATTAAATATATATATATATATATATATATAGTATTCGTGTGTGTATACAATTGATCGATTAAAAATATGGGGTAAAAAAACAGAACATAACTATGAATTACTATAGTTTACTACAATTATATATAATTCGATTTAGTTATTTTCAGTATACTAAACTTATTAATTTGCAAAAAAAAAGAGTAAATATATATATATATATATATATATATATATATATATATATATATATATATATATATATATATATATATATAAAAAATATATATAATTACAATGTATTGTTTATTATGTAATTATTTAAATAGTTTTTAATAATATATATTAAAATAATAATTAAAAAAAAATGAGTTTGGGCACGAGCTCGACTCGTTCATAATCATACCCCCGTTTGAGATGACAAATTCAGTAACAATACAACCTGATTCAATCTTCTATCTTACAAAATGACAATTTATCTCTATATGTTTTGTCCTTTCATAAAAGACCGGATTTAAATCAATGTGTAGTACTGCTTGATTGTCACAGATTAATTGCATTGGGCTAATAATTTTTAGTCTTAATTCTTGAAGTAGTTGTTTTAACCAACAAGTCCACATACTAAAGCTATGGTCCGATATTCTGCGATCTCGCTACAACATCTTATTTTTTACTTTTTCACTATATCAAATTTCCTCAAATAAGAACACAAAACCCCGCGGTAGATTGCTGATCTTCGGGATAGCTTTCGACAACCGAAGCCTGATGGTTTGGCTCGATTATATTTGAACTAAGCATAATTTACAGTGAGCCGGTCCGAGTTTGAATAACTTTATTAAATCCAATTAAATTATAAATTGAGTTTGAGCTTATTATGGATCAACCCAAACTAAGCCCAATCCTATTAAGTTAAAAATTAAATATTTGAGGTTGTCTAGGGTCCGAGAGGGTCTATACTACTCGGACCCAAACGATTGAAAATCAACCAATAAAATCAACCAATAAAATTGTGACACGTATAATTTGTACGAACCCCATAAAAAAAGTACGATACCTACCTTATACGTGAAATTACATAAAAATCCCTATAATTAAAACTTAAGTAATAATTAATAATAATTAATAATTAAGATGTAATTACAACAGGAAAGACGTAACATAATTTAATTCTTCTTCTTCTTCCTTAATTCTTCTATGTTTTTTGAACCCTAATTATCGACAGACAAAACGTTTTTCTTTTTCATCTTCTGACGATCCCGCCATAGTCGTCAAGCACTACGCTCAGATTTCTCCTCTCCAGCCGATTGTAAGTTATTTAATTTTAGGTCCGACAAATTTTAATTATTCTTCTTTCTTATGAATTAAAGCTTTAAAGACCATGAATAATTTTATATCTTCCGATTGGTTATGTTCTTCTTTTTGCTTTTTTTTTTTCGGTCCTATTTGCTGGACAAACAGTAATTAAATATGTTTCTAATCTTGTAGATACTTTTTTACATAATTGTTTTGGCAAAAAGTAAGCCCTATCTTCCTTGATTTTGTCACAGACATAGTTCACGGTTTTATTATTTTGAATTATGGTGATAATTTTGTTAATGATCTGCATGAACAGTAAATCTCATATGTAGTTCACTAGAAATAAGGTTGCAATAATAAACCACGTAGTGATTCTTCTCAATTTGACTTGGGTAATATTTCAAATTCAATACAGTTCGCATTTGAACAGATAGATAAATTTGCAATGTTGAACATACAAAATGACCGGATAGACAAGACCAATTTTTACTTGTGTATTCATTTAGTTATTTTTTATCTGCTGTTACTTAATGGATTTGCCTTATGAGTAGCATGGAATTAATATTGATAGTTGATGGTGTATTAGCATATTTTCCGTGTTTAGCCATTGTCGGTACTAATTTATATCAGTAAATCACCGTGTATTTGACATGGACTTATATAACTACACGAAAGTGTTTCTCGGTGTTATCTTTTTTACCAAAATTTTGTCTCATTCGACTTAGTTGCATCTAGTGACTTAGTCGCATCAGATCTATATACTCGTCTATATATTTTTCTTAATTAAATTCAATTTATTTATCCATGTCTTGTATTATAAATTATTTTCTAAGCTCAAATAAATATCAACAATGTGATTTTGAGGTTTTTTTGAAATAAAATAGGCACAATGGATTTCAATATTGGAATTGAAGAAGCAATCCCACATTCCTCTTATGATGAAAGCTATTCCAGACACAGTAGCAATTGTGAAGATCCACTCAATCATGGTTTGGATGGGGGAGGCAATTCAGTTGGTTTTGATATGAAAAGTATTAATGAAGATGTGGTCCGGCGACTCATATTCGAGAGTATTGATGATGCTGAATTTTTTTACTCATCATACGCCAACTTAGCTGGTTCTAGAATTCGAAAACAGAGTGTGAAACGTAGCTTCGCCGACCTTATAAAGTATAGGGAGTGGGTTTGTACACGTGAGGGGTTTCGCAGACGGCCAAAGGATGATAATAATAGAAAACGAGAGGCAAAAGCTCTTACTAGATGTGGTTGCAAAGCTGGCTTACGTGTAGCACATGATCGTTTTTCTGGACATTATATTGTGACGGATTTTGAATCTTATCATAATCATGATTTCCAAGATTTCAAGAAGAGGTACATAATTTAATTGATTCCTTTGGTTATCAATTTTTTGTCTCAAATTCATGCAATTATGAACTCAAATTTATTAGGTAATTTTGTGTACATGTATATTAATGCCCGATAAATCCATGTTGAGTTTGATGACATATTTCGGATTAGGCCATGTCTGGTTATGGATTTGTTGAAGCAGCTTGCCAGAGGCGCTGGCAAAATATCTTTTACAAAGAAAGATGGTTATAATTGGTTGAACAAGGTACGACAAGAAAGAATACAAGGAGGCGATATCAACACATTACTAGCCTTATTTGAGAGTATGAAAGTAAAAGACGACGGTTTTTTCTATAAATACGAGGTGGATGAAGAAGGTGCGCTTTCAAGGATTTTTTTGGTGTGATGGAGCTTCAAAAGCTGAATATGGACTTTTTGGGGATGTTTTAATTTTTGACAACACGTACAAGACAAATAAATATTTGTATCCTCTCGTTATTTTTTCTGGAGTCAACAATCATGGTTCAACATGCATTTTTGGAGCATCTTTTGAGGAATGGACAATTTATTCATATCAAGGGTTGTTGGAAACACTTCTTGAAGCGATGAACGGTAAAGTTCCTAGGTCTGTTTAACAGATCAAGATTCGTCTATAGTAACTGCTATTCTTTAAAAGTTTCCTAGAACGAAGCAGCGGTTATGTGGTTGACATCTTCGAAGAAATGTTCGGCAAAATATCAAAGTGTCGGGTTTTTATTCAGATTTTTTGAGATTGTTGAAGAAATCATGCTCAGTTGATGAGTTTGAGGCACGGTGGGCAAATATAGTTGAGATGCATGAAGTAGCAGATAAACAATGGGTTTTGGATACATTTGAAAAGAAAGAAAAGTGGACCGAGGCATATTTTCGCGGACATTTTATGGCAATGACATGGACAACACAAAGGGCTGAGTCAATGAACTCATTAATTAAGCTTGCCGTCGATCAGAAGATGACTATTACAGAGTTTGTGAAGCACTACAATTGAACGCTACATAATCTAAGGAGTAATTTTCTTACTGAACAAGATGATTCAGAGAATACGAAACATGCAATTAGAGAAAGTCCTCTTAAAAGGCTCGAGGAGCATGCAGCCAGTATATGCACGAAAAAAATCTTTCATGTTATACGTGATGAAATTAGAGCAGAGCAAGGCCTTTTAATGGAAATTAAAAGTAAGATAGGTAGAGAACCATATGCATTCTTGTTTGAAAATTACGAAAAACTTGATGGTGCGCAACATTCTGTGATTATTGACAAGTTAAATCACAATTTCAAGTGTGATTGTCTGATGCTTGAGTCTGAGGGTGTATCATGCCGACATATCATAGCAGCCTTCAAGTTAATGCGGATTGCGGAGTTTCCATATAACAACATACACCATTGTTGGCTTATTGACATAGGTAGGATACTGAAAAATAAATATCCAGAGACTATCTCAGTAGTCGGAGCACAACAGACACGATTTGCACTATTAAACAAAGAATTGTTAAATTTATCATACACATCATCACAGACAAAGTTGGGATTTAATGAAACCTTAAAACGGGTAAGGAAATTTTAGATGAGGCAACAAAGGAATTCTTAATGCATAATGACATTGGGGCTCATACAGTTGGAAACGGTGTTGCTGATGATTCGAAGAAATTTTCTGAACATGTTGGAGACCCTCCTTTAGGTTCTAATGTGAATGATCCTGGACGAATAAAGACTTGAGGTGCAAAACGTGCTAAGCAACAGAATTGTGGTTTTTGTCGGTACGTGCTCATTCTATTTTGTAAAGACAAATTTCTGACTTAAATTTAATTATATATTTCAATTAGTACTTATGATTTTATTTATGGTTTTTTTTTTTTTTGCAAGGGAGCCTGGTCATAAAACTACTACGTGTATTAGAAATCCCGTCAACATTGATCGACGTATAAATGCTTGTGCCAAGAAATCAAGAAATAGAGTGGAAACTAGTAGTACTCAATATGACTGTAGTCAGAATTCAATAGGATCGTGTCTATAGATGGATGGTTATGGTGACCATGGAATAATTTTGATTATGATTATCCTTGGATTTTTTATTTTCCCGGCGGTTTTGGCATATATTTTGTTGAAGATTTTGTGGTTAAATTTGCTGGTGATTTTGGCATTTATCCTTGGATTATTGTTTATTTTGCTAAATTTTGTATGTATCTATTTTGTGGTAAAAAAATTCGCACAAAATAATTTGGCTGAAAATTAATCTAATCAATGATTATGTAGTTGAAACGAGGGTGAAATATTAAATTACGGGCGGTGGCCATCTGGTTATCTCGGCCGCGCCGCCCTTTCAAGGCCACTTGTTTCAAGCCCCATCACCACCAACTTCTGAAAGTTTTAGCATAGGCAAAATGAGTTTTTTAGTCCTGTAAATTTGCTAGTTGAGAGTTTTAGTCCACCATGTTTCAAAATCAGATTTTTAGTCCTATAAATTACAGAAGTTGAGAATTTTGGTCCTATGACCTGCTATAACAGGTAATGTGATGGTTGGTTGAATGAGTTGGCATTTAAAATATAAAAATAAATAGATTAAAAATAAATTAGGTGATATGGCTAATGAGTTGGATGGGTTTGGAGAAAAATTTGATCCTCAATGACAAATTCACCAAAATAATGAGGAAATTTTAACATATTAAATATTAATTCATATATTTAATTTTTTGTTATATTTATAATAAAAAACCACAATAAACCATTGAATAAAATCTACAAAAATATTTTTATGAAGGAAATAAGACTAATTAATGTTTAATTAATATTTCTTAGTTTTTATTTAATAAAAATAGTAATTAAATTAATATTCATCTAAATATTTCATTTTTTACAAATCTATACTTAGTGATTACAATAAAATTGAACCAACAATCAAATTCAATATAAAACCGAAAAAAACTTTTTATTAAATCTTGTTGTAAAGTTAAATGACATGCAAAATCATAATTAGTATAAGAAATCAAATGCATATTTACAAATTAACCAAAAAAAAATTATTTAGACTCCAGCCTTTAAAGTATATGGATTTGGGCAAAGTCCGCCGGATTCAAATTTATCCTGAACAAAACCCAAATTCAATAAAAGAAAAAATCAGTCTCTAAAATCATCTGCAATTAATGATAAACAAAAATCATAAACGAAAGAGAAAGAAAAATACGGAAAGACCACAAAAAATGCTAAAAGCTAACAAGAGTAACTGCTCGTAAGACAAACGAGCTCCAAGAGTAACTACGCACGAAGATGAAAATCTAAAACTCAATAACACCTATCAAAGCACAAAAAAAAAAATGAATTAGGCCAAAAAATATACCTCGAAAGAACAACTACACTGCAATACAAAACGAAATACATAGATAACAAATGCACTGTAATAATACTTACAATTTTCGAGAGTCTATATCAAGCATAAAAGTTCCTATCTCGGCGAAGCGAACATATTGTAATTACTTCTAACAGCTCAAATGCCCCCATCTCAAACATCATCATCATGCAAACATATACTCCACAATCGAACCTGTCACATTATGCATACTGGTTAATGGTGATAAATAAATTAAAAACTATCTAAATATATTTATAAATATGAATAGAAATACCCAATTGGTTCTAAAGGAACCCAATCTGGATCCATATAATAGAACTTCTTCGTTATATTTTTTATCTTGTACTTCTCTGGCTGCCATTTTTGAAGCACATGCTCCATTCGAACGATCTGCAATTATAAAATAATATTAATAGAATGGTCGAAATTTATTCAAACAACATGTTCGTTATTATGTTTTTTTCCAACCGCGTTATTGACTATCTTTTTTCTATATTCACGCATCGCACTGACAGGGGCTGAATCACAAATAGAGACTGTCCCCGAATCCAAGTCAATAATAACACATTTCTATAACAATGACAAATATATTGGCAAATATATATTGGTAAATATATTTGAGCACATTTCTCTATTCGACTTTTACAATAATGAAGCATATTTATGATATGCTCATCAGCATAGTGTTTTATCGAAATAACTTGCTGCAAATAAAAAATATTTGTATTAGTAATTAATAATATATACAAAGTTATCTAAAACTCAAAACTTTAGATTATTAAAATTAGAATAGGTATCGCATCATACAACAAACATCGTAGGGAAGCACCATCGATCGTGATACCTTGGATCCTCTGTTCTACTTCGTGTGCACATATACGCTACACAGTCTATCACCTATAATTTCAAATGTTATGTTAAATTAGCTACCACCTAAATTTGCAACATTTTATGTAACATTAGCTATCACCTATATTTCCAACATTTTATTTTAACTAGTCTCTTTTTTTTTCAACATAGAATCATCGGTGTCGTGACTTGGGACATTAATGTTTGATGAAATAGGTGTGTTACCCGTGTTCTGACTGATTCCAAGCAATGTATTCCGGATTATTAATGGAATTTTGGACTTCTAATTGTGCAATTCTTGAAGTACACTGTCGATTTTGTCAAAAGATTATTGAATGCTTGTTTGGTATCCAAATCGGTCTCCATTGAAATGTCAGTTCACCAGCTCATCCATTGTGCTCATTAACTGGGCAACTTTTTTCACGCTACTACTTACTCGTGCACTTAACAATGAAAACTGAGTTCTACTACCAAAGTCATCACGTACGCAATATTTTTGTTTTTCAATGCTACTTACCCGTACACTTAACAATGCCAATTGTTCTCTTGTGTGTAAGTCATTACGCACATTCTCGATTTGTTGTGTCACGTGTTGATTCCCGACTGCCTCGCACACATAATCTTTTTGTTTTTCGATGCGACTTAATCTTGCACTTAACACTACCAGTTGAGTTCTTACGTATGAGTCTTCCTGAACATTCTCTTTTAGCACATGTGGATCCCTGACCTCATCACTTTTGAATAGCCCTGACACTCTACAATCACCACCTTGTTTGTTCACAGACCTCCGTTGGTCACTTGGCGAATCTCCATTTACAAAATCATGAAGGATCCCATTTGAATATTTGACATTGTCATCATGTTCGTTAAGCAGTGCATCAGGAATTACTTTCCTCGCAGTTGTTTTATCTATGGAATTTGTAGGCATGGACATGTCATCGAAACCGAAAACATTTGCCTAGGAATTTTTTTTAAATGAATGAATACAAAATTTATTTGAAATTTATCACTAATGGTAAACCAAACATAACGAATAAGGTACCTTCTATCTACAAAGACCGCTCACAGACCTCCGTTGCTCACATGGCGAATCTCCATCTACAAACTCATGAAAGATCACATTTGAATATTTGACATTGTCATCATGTTCGTTAATCAGTACATCAGGAACTACTCTCCTCGCTGTTGTTTTATCCATGGAAGACATAGACATGTCATCGAAACCGAAAAAGTTTGCCTAGGAATTTTTTTTTAAAAGAATGAATACAATGTTTATTTGAAATTTATAACTAATGTTAAACAAAACATAAAGAATAAGGTACATTCTCTATACAATGACCGCTCACAAACCTCCGTTGCTCACTTGGCGAATCTCCTTTTACAAAATCAACAAGCATCCCATTTGAATATTTGACCTTGCCATCATGTTCGTTAATCAGTACATCGGGAACTACTCTCCTCGCTGTTGTATTATCCATGGAAGACATAGACATGTCATCGAAACCGAAAACGTTTGCCTAGGAAATTTTTTTAAATGAATGAATACAAAATTTTATTCAAAATTTATAACCAATGGTAAAATAAAGATAAAGAATAATGTACCTTCTCGCTACAATGATTGCTCACAGACCACCGTTGCTCACTTGACGAATCTCCATTTACAAAATCATCAAGAATTCCGTTTGAATATTTGACCTTGTCATCACGTTCGTTAATCAGTACATAAGGAACTACTCTCTTCGCTGTTGTTTTATCCATGGAAGACATGGACATGTCATCGAAACCTAAAAATT